AACTGTTGAAGAGTAAAGCAAGAGCTATGGGAAAAGGAATGAAACAGGTTTAAGGATCCTAGAAAAACTTTTAAAAGCCTTAGCAAAATTTTAAGGGACCACACATTTATCTTAGTTGATAACAAAACACCCATCATTTGGACTCTGCCTCACACATGCTTCAGGATAACTGTGCCATCTATTTTGGGAACAAAAATTTATGATGAAATAAACACTGTAAAGGTTATACAAAACCATTTATTTTCTCTACTAGGCTCCCTTTATGTGCAAGAATCAATAAAGCTGGAGTTAGTGTGAGGTAGGACGTAACCCTGCCTTTCATAGCTGATCTGTAAAAATATTAAACCATGGGTGACGAACTGATAGAAGGCACTGAGAACATACTCTGCTATTAAGATGTTCTAATTTCTTTATAAAACAGACTATTTTTACATATTTACCAACTTTATTTTTCTTTTTTTGGTGGAACCAGGGATTGAACTCAGGCCCTTACACTTGCCAGGGAAGCACTTACTCCACTGAGCCATCTCCCCAGCCCCTACCAACCTTATTTTTATAAGGCAATATTTGCTGTCTTCTCTTTCATTTGAAAGTATTTTCCACAGTCCTTCAAGTCTCTAATGCTTACTTTTATAGCATACAGTGGGCCTTTCACGATCAGACCTATATCCATCTCTTTGAGTCTCATCTCTTGCTGGATTTGTAAATTCTATTTCACTGACTGAAGCCCACATCTCGGAGCTATATGCTCCAGGCAATCACCTTTTAAAACAATGACATACTTACCAAGAAATATTTGTTTCCCAAACTATATCTTGACAATTAGTTGTCATTAAGTGTAACCTAATGAAATTGCAAAAGGATTTGGAAGAGATCTCATGGAAACAGGCAAATGAATACACATTTTAACTTAAAATTGGTGACTAAAGCTAAATATGATCATATTTTAGTTGTTTTTCAAGTAACCAACTAGGAAGCTTGAGGTGTCATAGGATCTCTTTGAATAATAAACTGCTGCTCATTAAACACACAAAAATCAAAAGGCAAAAAGCTGTAAGCTACTACAACCCTGAAGATGGCTTACTCCTCACTTTCCTAATTCAAGCAGATATGTTAGGGCCAGAGAATGGACAAAGTCAGAGTGCAATTATCTTGTAGTACAGATTCTTCCTACATCATTAGACTTTTCTCAGATTCTTCATTCTAATTCTGGTCAGAAACCCTTTTCTTTTAGTTAACTTTTTAACTACTTTCACAATTCATACTGTTAACAAACATCTCTAGGTCATCAGTAAGCCCTTATGGGCTGGACCCAATTCTTTTAAGTACTGCTTAATATTATGTTAGGCTAACTGGTTGCTCTTGATCCAGTTTTTCTCCATGCCAAACAAGGAAGACCTACCTTTGGGATCATCTTCCTTTTATTTCTATCACATGCACTCCATATTCTTCAGTCTTCCCAACCGTACAAAATACCTGAGTACTAACACTTACTAAAAGACTAATGAAATTACCTAAAAGATACTGTTCAACTGCTCCTTCTTGGAAGGCACTGTAGGTGTCTACATCATGTAGGTTCTTTGTACTTCAAAATCAATATATGACAGAGACATGCGAATACTGTAATTATAACAGAAAGTGGGTATAGCAACGCATAATTCTTCTGAAAAGCTCTTACTCCAACAAATGAACTGCCTAGTGCCACTCAACTTAAAAACTAACCTAATATAGCAGTTTAAAAGGCCTAATTAGATTCAGAGTGGGGAGCACTGAAAAGTTGTCTGGTGTCTTGGTCCTACTTGCAGCAGTGTGGTTCTGTGGGCTGGAGATTAACCAGTGCTCAGCAACCACACCTTAAAACTCCCAGGCAAATCAAGTACACCTCAGTCAAGTTAACCTGAGTCACTGTTATAGTTATTCAATTACTGCTGCCAACTGTTAAGTGAAGACAGACTTTACTGCTTCCTCTCTCAGGCCGCCTACAAGCACCGGAAGCCAGTATTTGCCCTGTATCAGTGGCTTTTAAAACTTTAAATGAAACATTTGAAACTGATAGGCTCAACTGCCTGCCCACCCCAGAAAATTCACATGGACTGCAAGAGACCCATGTGCACTATTATAGACAGTCTAACTATTGAATGAGTTCCACAATGCAAAACTGGTTTGACTAATAATCTTCAGGTTTTTATGCAATAGGCATTGAATGAAGCTTTCTTGTATATATTCCCTCATTTTTACATCTTATTTGCAAGACAAAAATTACCCAACTTTGACTGCATCTACCAGATTTATGCAGAAGTACCAGGTATTATCACTAGTGGCTGAGGCCCTCTCAACCAAGACCCCATTTGTCCTAAGCACCTGGTATGAAGGGCAAACTGCATTAGTTCAAATACTTCAATTTCAAATGAGAAAAAAAGGCTTTCTGATCTTTCTGCAACTAACAAAGTCCACGTTGTGAAGACTGCTGCAGTGAGCATCCCCAAATACCAGTAATACTCTGCAACTCCTTCCGACAAGGAAGGAATCTGTTCTCAAGTGGCATATAAACTTGATAATACACATAATAAAAATGAGTTACTGAAGATATAAAGGAAAAAAATCAGGAAAAATTCCAGCAATTAGGCTGGAAGGTATTTTCTTAGCCAATTTGGTCTATTAATACCAGCCAGAAACATTAATTCTGCCAAAGTATTATAATAATTTTTCTCAAAATAAAAATATGCATATTTTTATCAAGTACAATAGTTGAAAATTTTTTCAAGTATCAGCTCTGCCTACACGTTTCTATGTCAATACGATCTCTTTGAAAAACATGGTAATTAAATTCACTTGCAAAGAATCAAGGTATGTATTAACAGTGAGTATTTGTAGGCTGAAATAAAAATGATGTAGAAAAACAGCAGCACGGATGACCTAATTCTAACTACTATTCACTTTCTCAAAAGCCCTTCTTGTTTATTTTACCAAGTACTAGAGTATCTATCCATTACTATGAACTATGTAAGTAAAAGGTAACAGAATTGCTCTGTAAATTGTCTAAACCATTCACACGCTAAACTTTTAAAATGAAAACTTCATTTAGACTTTGTTAGAAGCCGGTATCATTCTAAGGTAAACATAACTACTAAAATTAATAAAAATGGATCTTCTTAACTGTCTTTAAAAGATTAAAGACCCATTCTCATCTACTCTGACTAGGAAATTAACTTTTTCTTCATAAAGACACCAAACAGAGGCAAAATTAAAAGCTATGAGTCTTCCCCTAGAAAAACTCTCACAAGAACTTTTATACTGTGTTTGGGAATTAGGCAAATACATACCTGGAATAGCCAGTAAGCTTTTTAATAGAAAGTTAAGTGTTAACCACATTACTTTTTATTTCTAAAACTGACTAATGTTAAGGAAAATTCTAACTTGCAATGTGTTTGGAAGCCAAAATTATCGAAAATTGTTGATGAAGGGGACTAACCTCAAGAAAACGAACAGAAACACACAAAAAAGAAAACACTAGTCAACAGGGTAAGCAAAACCCCCCCGCCCCGATTTATTATAGAAAAAATAATTACAGCTGGGTGTGGAAAACATTTGTAATCCCAGCAGCTAGGGAGGCAGAGGCAGTAAGATCACTGGGAGTTTAAGGCCAGCCTGAACTGCAGAGTAAGACCCATCTCAAAATTTTTTCAAATTTTAAACATTCTTAATTACCTTAACAAATCATAAGATACATGTCAGCCTTGATAAAAGCATAATGTTCCTTTCTTCATATTAAAAATCGACTGTCATAGACAAATTACAACTTTTTTGTTGCATCTAAGACAGATATCACATCAAGACCCTGGGACTGTGAGTCCACTTTAAATGAGAATAAAAAAAGCTTTAAAGACAGTCTTAAGAAAATGTCCCACATTGCTTGTTTCAGTAGTTGTTCTATGAAATCACATATACTGCACCTGGCATTCTGTAACCTGCCTTTAAAAATTAGGATATTCTGTTTTTGCAAACCAGAGCCCCGCCATAGTAACATCCATGGTGTAACAGATATCTAAATGCAATTACTTTTTAAACCGCTTCTGGTATTACCCAAAAATTCCTAGGCCACTTTAAAGAACTAGTACTCAAGTGTATTAAATATGTTCTTTTTTTTTTTTTTTTTTGCGGAACCAGGGATTGAACTCGGGCCCTTGCGCTTGCCGGGGAAGCGCTTATTCCACTGAGCCATCTCCCCAGCCCCTCAAGTGTATTAAATACGTTAACTGGTTGGACTTTCTCTATTAGATTAACCTCAACTTTCTAGTACTCGTGTGTATTAAAATTAAACATTATGTTAACTGATTGAATTTTCTATTAACCTCAACTTTCTGAATCAAAAAATTCATTGACATTGAAAATGAACCAAAATGTTCAAATTTTCAAGTTTTTTGAGATACACAGGGTTTCCACACAGAGGTATACTATTTTTGAACCTGGAAAATCAAGTTTTTGAGTTATTCATAAGCTTTCACCATGGCTGTTAGTACTCAAAGCTGACTTTCAACATTTAAATCAGGAGAAAGCACCAACTGTAGGGTCAGAGCTTTCAACATGGCTGACTCACTGCGTTATCATTAGAGTGGCTGATCCACAGAAGGGCCCCTGTGCCTACATTGAGCCTATTACATTCCACACAAGACAAAACGTGTAAAACTCTTACACTCACATACATTTAAGACAATTAAAACTACAGACATCATAACCAGACTCAAAATGGTAGTACAGTCCAGCTTAATGTTTTAACTAGTATAAAATGTAACCAAATGTATGGTTTTGTGAAATTATGAAAATTACTGCATTTATTTTACTTGACCTACAATTATTTCAACACTTTTAAATACTACCCTGAAATCATTTAAACATTGACTTTTTTTAAAAAGAAAAAGAATTAACTAAGGAAAGAAAAACTGTACTGTAACTGATACTCAAGATAGGACCCCTACGTTATAATAAAGGTCAAGCCTCACCAGTACATCGTTGCAGATATCCCTTAGCTCAGTCTCAATTTTCTCTCTGTATTCTCGAGCCATCTGCTGCTTTTTCTCAGCACCTTCCGTCTTTTGCTCGATACTTGAGACAACCCTCCAAGATGACCTACGGGCTCCTACAACATTTTTATAAGCAACGGAGAGAAGGTTCCTCTCCTCATTAGATAATTCAGCGCCTTGCTCAGTTACAGACTTCATGCAGGCTGCCATGTCATCATATCGCTCAGCCTGCTCGGCCAGTTTGGCCTTCTGCACCAGCTCGTTTTTATCCATGCCTGGATGTTCTGCGGGAAGAAAAAAGGAGTACTTAGAAATTTTTTCCCATTTAAATATACACATTCTAAATCATACATGTAGTTAATAACTCTATACACACCTCAAGATATACTGAAACATTCTTCATACAAAATACAACTTCATAAAAAAAGATGACTAAAGTAGAAAAGCTGGCATATTCACATACAGTAATAGATTTCAACTAAGATTGCATTAGTTCACCTCTCTAGAAGATCCCAATCTTCTAAAGATTAGGTCTAAAGGTTTTCAAAGCACATCTGGGTAAAAGCACTACCTTAAAAACCAGCTCCTATATGGCCAAAAATTTTAGCTTGTTTCCAGTATCTCTTAAGTTAGCCAAATTTAAGCAGCTTCTCAAACCCCTCAATGCAAAAACGAACACAAAAAAGCTGAACATTAAAATTTTTATCATACTTCGACTATTACGAGTGTCAGTCTGGTGCACTTCACATTTTTAATTTTCATATTTAGCCATGTCATTAAATTTTAATTGGTATTACCTTCACCCAGAATCTATTAGATCTTTACATAGGCCAGCTGATTAGGCATAATCACCAAATTGGAGCTTAATTATGAATACAAAAACCATCAACCAGCACCTAACCCCTAGTCTTGTCACATGCGCATTCACTTAAAAAATATGCTTGCATCCCAAGATATCCTCAACTCTCAAACATGTCACATTGGAAGTTCCAAGTGTTTCAGTGTCAAGCTTAATGTACATTTTGTTTCTATGAGCAGTAGCCACAATCTGAGCAATACTCAAGCCTCACCTTCCCGTCTTCCCACCTAATTTTCTTTCATTTTAAATTTCCATAGCCTTCATTCAATGTATTTCAACATTTTTCTTCCAAGTTACCCCAAGATGGTACCAAACCACAGTGTGCACACAAAAAAAAATTTTAAAGAAAAATATACATCCCGAAAAACACTATTAAATTACAAAGTGTCTGAAGAGCCTTCTACTATGGGAACTGACTCCTTTTACCTTTCTCTGATAAACCTAATTTTTTTCCCCAACCAAATTAAGAGTCCCCACCATTTAAACAAGGAATCAACTAAACTGAATGTAAGATGTACTATTTCAACGGGTAAAAATTTGTGATCGCAAATTAATTTCCTCCTGGGAACTCAGGAACGTTGTCGGGTTTGTGCTGCCTCTAATGAAAAATGATTTCAAACCAGGACAAAGGTTTCCCTCCCCAGCCAGCGGTTGGGCACAAGGGGAAGTGGCCTGCGTTTCTCACGGCTAACAGGGCGGGAGGCCTCGCCACTACACTGCGGAGAGCTTCGCCACACCCAGTTAACTCTTTGCGGGCCGCGGCGTCGTGAAGGCGAAGCGGAACCTCGCAGACCGTGACTTTCAAGTGCGAAACCTCCGTCCGCGCCATCCGCAGCCGCCTCCCCTGCGTGGCTCCGCCCAGGCGGGTGCCTCCGCACAGTCCCGACTCCTTTGTCATGGCGGACCGGTGTCAAGGAGCCCAGCCTCCCGCCCTGAGTGCAATCC